AATGAACAAATTCCTGGACACATACACCCTCCCAAGACTAAATCAGGAAGAAGTCAAATCCCTGAATAGACCAATAACAAGTTCCGAAATTGAGGTAGTAATTAATAGCCTACCAACAAAAAAAAGCCCAGGACCAGATAAATTCACAACCAAATTCTACCAGAGGTACAAAGAGGAGCTGGTGCTATTCCTACTGAAACTATTTCAAACAACTGAAAAACAGGTATTCCTCCCTAACTCATTTTATGGGGCCAGCATCATCCTGATACCAAAACCTGGCAGAGACACAACAAAAAAAGGTAATTTCAGGCCAATATCCCCGATAAACATCTATGCGAAAATCCTCAATAAAATACTGGCAAACCAAATTCATCAGCACATCAAAAAACTTATTCACCATGATCAAGTAGGCTTCATTCCTGGAATTCAAAGCTGGTTCAACATATGCAAATCAATAAACACAATCCATCACATACACAGAACCAATGACAAAAAACACATGATTATCTCAACAGATTCAGAAAAGGCCTTTGATAAAATTCAACACCCCTTCATGCTAAAAATACTCAATAAACTAGGTATTGATGGAACATATCTCAAAATATTAAGAGCTATTTATGACAAACTCATAGCCAATATCATAGTGAATGCGCAGAAGCTGGAAGCATTCCCTTTGAAAACCGGCACAAGACAAGAATGCCCTCTCTCCCCACTCCTATTCAACACAGTATTGGAAGTTTTGGCCAGGGCAATCAGGCAAGAGAAAGAAATAAAGGGTATTCAAATAACAAGAGAGGAAGTCAAATTGTCTCTGTTTGCAGATGACATGACTGTATATTTAGAAAACCCCATCATCTCAGCCCCAAAACTCCTTAAGCTAATAAGTAACTTTAGCAAAGTCTCAGGATTCAAAACCAATGTGCAGAAATCATAAGCATTCTTATACACCAATAATGGAGAGCCCATTCATAACTGCTACAAAGAAAATATAATACCTAGGAATACAACTTACAAGGGACGCGAAGGAACTTTTCAAGGAGAACTACCAGCCACTGCTCAAGGAAATAAGAATGGACACAAATAAATGGAAAAACATTCCATGCTTATGGATAGGAAGAATCAATATTGTGAAAATGGCCATACTGCCCAAAGTAATTTATAGATTCAACGCTATTCCCAACAAGCTTCCACTGATTTTCTTCACAAAACTACAAAAAACTACTTTAAATTTCATATGGAATCGAAAAAGAACCTATATGGCCAAGACAATCCTAACCAAAAAGAACAAAGCTAAAGGCATCATGCTACCTGACTTCAAACTATACTACAAGCCTACAGTAACCAAAACAGCATGATACTTGTACCAAAACAGATATATAGACCAATGGAACAGAACAGAGGCTGCAGAAATAACACCACACATCTACAACCAAATGATCTTTGACAAACCTGATGAAAACAAACAATAGGAAAAGGATTCCCTGTTTAATAAATTGTGCTGTGAAAACTGGCTAGTCATGTACAGAAAACTGAAACTGGACCCCTTCCTTAAACTTCACACAAAAATTAAGTCAATATGGATTAAAGACTTAAATGTAAATCCAAAAACCATAAAAACCCTAGAAGAAAACATAGCAATATCATTCAGGACATAGGCATGGGCAAAGACTTCATGACTAAAACACAAAAAGCAATTGCAACCAAAGCCAAAATTAACAAATGGGATTTAATCAAACTAAAGAGCTTCTGTACAGCTAAAGAAATTATCATCAGAGTGAACAGGCAACCTACAGAACGGGATAAAATTTTTGCAATCTATCCATCTGACAAAGGTCTAATATCCAGAATCTACAAGGAACTTAAACAAATTTACAATAAAATAAAAACTCCATCAAAATTTGGGCAAAGGTAGCTGGGCACACTGGTGGCACCTGTAATCTCAGCTACTTGGGAAGCCGAGGCAGGAGAATTGCTTGAACCCAAGAGGTGGAGGTTGCAGTGAGCTGAGATTGCACCACTGCACTCTAGCCTGGGCGATAGAGCAAGACTCCGTCTCAAAAAAAAAAAAAAAAAAAAGTTTGACAAAGGACATGAACAGACACTTCTCAAAAGAAGACATTTATGCAGCCAACAGACATATGAAAAATAAGCTCATTATCACTGGTCATTAGAGAAATGCAAATCAAAACCACAATGAGATACCATCTCATGCCAGTTAGAATGGCGATAATTAAAAAGTCAGCAAGCAAATAACAGATTCTAGAGAGGATGTAGAGAAATAGGAATGCTTTTACATTGTTGGTGGGAGTGTAAATTAGTTCAGCTATTGTGGAAGACAGTGTGTTGATTCCTCAACGATCTAGAATCAGAAATACCATTTGATCCAGCAATCCCATTACTGGGTATATACCCAGAGGATTATAAATCATTCTACTATTAAGACACATGCACATGTATGTTTTTATTGCAGTGCCATTCACAATAGCAAAGACTTGGAACCAACCCATATGCCCATCAATGATAGGCTCGATAAAGAAAATGTGGCACATATACACCATGGAATACTATGCAGCTATAAAAAAGAACGAGTTCATGTCCTTTGCAGGGACTTTATGAAGCTGGAAACCAGCATTCTCAGCAAAACTAACACAGAAACAGAAGACCAAACACTGCATGCTCTCACTCATAAGTGGGAGTTGAACAATGAGAACACATGGACACAGGGAGGGGAACATCATACACCGGGGCCTGTTGCGGGGTGGGGGCAAGGGGAGGGAGAGCATTAGGACAAATACCTAATGGATGCAGGGCTTAAAACCTAGATGATGGGTTGATGGGTGCAGGGCACATGTATACCTCAGTAACAAACCTGTACATGTATCCCAGAACTTAAAGTTTAATAAATTGAAAAAAAAAATGACCTAGATTCAATAAAAACCCCAGCAGTACTGAGGGTAGATTAAAGTTTGATTTGAAATGTATAAGGAAAGACAAAAGGCCAAGAATAGCCAGGGCAGTCATAAAAAAGGATTTACACTTCAGATATGAGATACATTGAATATATTAAGAGAATGGTATACTGGTGCAAGGACACACAAAAAAACAACGATAAAGTAACAGATTAAATAGTCCAGATACACAAACACATTTATGGTCTTTGATTTATGAAAAGATAGCCTTACACCGCAGTGAGAAAACTATATTCTTTTCAACAAATGGTGCTGAATATCTACTTAGAAAAAACTGAATTGTCACCCTTATCCTACGTCATGGATTGTAGATCTAAATGTGAAAGTAAAATAACAAAGGTCCTAAAAATGAAATAAGAAAATATTTTCATGGGCTTGGTGTAAGCAAGGATTTCTCTTCTTTTATTTTAAGTTCAGGGGTACATGTGCAGGATGTGCCGGTTTGTTTTATTTTATTTTATTTTATTTTTATTTATTTATTTTTTGAGATGGAGTCTCACTCTGTTGCCCAGGCTGAAGTGCAGTGGCCTGATCTCAGCTCACTGCAAGTTCCGCCTTCTGGGTTCACGCCATTCTCCTGCCTCAGCCTCTGGAGTAGCTGGGAATACAGGCGCCCGCCACCTTGCCTGGCTAATTTTTTGTATTTTTAGTAGAGACGGGGTTTCACCGTGTTAGCCAGGATGGTCTCGATCTCCTGATCTCGTGATCCGCCCACCTTGGCCTCCCAAAGTGCTGGGATCACAGGCTGAGCCACCGCGACTAGCTGTCGGTTTGTTACTCAGGCAAACATGTGCCATGGTGGTTTGCTGCACAGATTATCCCTTCCCAAATATTCTACCATAAAAGAGAAGACTGATTAGATAGACTACATGTAAAAATAGGAACTTTTGTTCTGTAAAAAGTATAATTCAAGTGAAAAATCTAATACATACAGTGAGATATTTGCAATTTATAACTTACAATGGACTTGTATCTAGAATATATTAAAAAATAAGTAAAAGACAGTAAGTTTAAAAAATCAAAAGTAAAAGACAGACATCCAAACAGACAAATAGATAACAGACATTAAGAAGAACTTTACAAAAGAGATTATCCAAATAATTAAGAAATGTAAAAAAGGTGCTCAACATCATTCATCATTAGGGAAAGGCAAATTATAAATACAGTGGGATAGTAATACATGCTAACATCGAAAAGACAGTATCAAGTATCAGGCAAGGATATAAAGCAAAACTCTCATACACTGTTGGTTGAATTGTAAAATGGTACTACTACTTTGGAAAATTGAATGACAATATCTAATAAAGTATACATAATTCTATAACAAAGCAATCCAATTTCTATGTTTGGCCACATAATCATGCACATTTGTTCACCAAAAGGCATGTATAAAAATATCATTTGTAATTGCCCAAACTGGAAATGTCCTTCAGTAGTAGAATTGACAAATATATTATAGTATACTTACACAATGGAATATTACACAGCAATGTATTCAAGTACAACAAACCAATTGAAATCATTCCCCATACCAAAATAGGTTCCCAAAAGATTTCTACTTGATTACAGTTTATTAGTCTTTGTACTATAAAGCAGTGAAAATGAGCAAACTACTGCTGCATGCAACAATATGAACGAATCTGAGAATAGCATGTGACATAATGTTGAGTGAAAGAAATTAGACATAGAAGAATACAGATTGTATAGTTTCATTTATGTAAAGTCCAAAAACAGACAAAACTAGTAAATATGTGGTCCTAGAATTCAGGATAGTAATTGCCTCCAAAAAGTAAGGAGGAAAAGTGTATGTAGTGGTATCAGTAGTCTTCTGGGTTATGGGTAATCTTTTGTTTCACAATCTAGGTTATAGTTAAATGGGTATGTGTGTATGTTCATTTTGTGATAATTCTTAAGTTGGACACATATGATTATATAATATAATTATATATGTCAAACTTTAGTAAAATATTTATCATAGAAAATATGGCTTAAAATATTAGGATCTTAAATTCATATTAACTTCTTACTAACCTGTAATAACTTGCACTGTATCCATCAATGATTTCAAATCAGTCTCCCCTTTAGCTGTAAGATAAAGTGAATTCAGGAAAAAATTATTTCTAAATAATAATCCAGAAACCAGCTAAAGTTTGTTATTATACATCATTATTTAGCTTCACTTTAATTGAATAACTCTTTTTTGTCATTTTTCAACTTTTTAAATTCTTAGAAACAAAATAGTATGGTGTAGCACAATAGATAACCCCATATGTTCTCAAATAAAAAAGTGAATAATAGATTTACATGTAGCAAGACAAGAACTTCCATTCCAAGAAGGCTAAAACATAATTTCTAATTGTATTATACTGTTTAAACACAGTATTTAGAACTATTTCCCCACAATTTCATATATGCTGTTTTCCTAACCAATTGAAACACATAAACCAAAGTTGAAATTAACTCTTTCTAAATGCCTATTTCAGATGTATAATTATATTTGAGGACTATGCTTATTACTAGTATCAGCATTTAAGCTTCCATTTTCTCTTTATTTTTATATAATAAGAGCAAAATTTAAGTATGTATGCATGCATATGTATATGCACAATCATATATTAAAATAATAAGAGAAACATTTCTGTCTAGAAAAAGATGGCAACTACCAAATTGAAATGCCAGCTGCCAGACCATGTTACCATACAGTCATTTCAGCTAAGGTCCCAAGTTTGAATTCACAATACAAAGGACAATTTGAGGATGTTAATGTATGAATGTATAAATAATGTATGAATGTATAGGTTGTATGAGAGATAAACATATAAAAATTGATGACTATAATAAACTGCTATGGTTGAAGCCAAGGTTGAGGAACTAGAGCTCACCCTACGTATCACTACCTCTTTATCTTCTTCCTGCATAGCAACACTTGAAACAATTCAATAAAACATAGTCTTCAAGAGTTAATTCCATATTAGTAAGCTGGCCCTTGACCATTGGACCATAATGTCTGGCTTGGGAAAGAATATGTTCTTACTGGGCTATTATGCTTTCTTATAAACATGATGAAAAATACCATCCATGCAAGTTAATTCTCTGAAGACCCTCAATTCTGATAATGACACAGGTCTCTGGTGACAAAAACCATATGTTCATCTCTGGTCTATTCCTAACAGACTTTGATACAGCATGTCACTTGGAATTGCTGCAAATAAATGGTTACATTATACCAAGTGTAAATATTACTGTCCTGACCAAAAGCAGTGCTTCATTTTCTTTAGGAATTATCTTGTCAATATCTATTCATTCATTTATTCATTATGTCATTCTCTCGTTTACTCAGGAATTTGTTCATCTCTAATTTAACATTTATGGAGTACCTACTTATATGCCAAGTGCTATTCTAGGTATTGGAAGATAAATAATATGCCCATCCCTACTTTAAGGCTCATATTAAAGTGACAAGATAGGCAAATAAACATAAATATACAATTACAGTACAATGTGGCAAATATAATGAAAAATATATGCACAGTTATTGTGGAAATACAGAAAAGAGGTATCTAATATAGTCTGGGTAGTTAAGAGAAAACTTTCTGAAATGAAAAACATGGCTCTCAATTCTGATAAGCAATGAGAAAGAGTTAGTCATATGAAGGGAAAGGAGAGACCCTCCGAGTAATGGAGACATCATAAAGCAAGGAAGTGATAAAAAGCATGATATAAAATACAAGTGATATAGAGTTACTTTATTCTATGATAGAAAAATGGAATAAAAGTGCAATATTATTGGAGGGTAAAATACTAGATTAGGTAAACAGGATCCAAATCACGAAGGAACTTGTTTTCCCTATCAATGGACTTAAGACATTTTTTAGTACATGATTGTAAGCCATTAAACACTTTTAAATTGAGTCGTGATGTGGTCAGATTTGCATTTCATATAGATCACTATGATGGCTATTTTGTAGAAGCCATTGTAATAGTTGAAATCAGGAAGGAAACAACCTGAAATATGACAATGATAGAAGGAACAAAGAGATGTTAACAGATTTATATATGGAATTTTTTTCAATGTTTCATTATGTAAATTTTCAAACATATGGCAAAGTTGAAAAAAACTGTACAATGAACAGGCCTATCACCTAAATTCTACTATCAACATTTTAGTATTCTTGCTTTGTCATATATCCAATCATCTATGCATGGTAGTTTGAGGTAAAACTGGCATGACAAAGTGATAGTCCAGATAGGAGGTGATAGGAAACAAGTGGTTATAAAAAATGAATCCCACATAACTAGCTTAGATGACTAAATAGACAGTGATAGCACAAATGGGACAGAGAATATAGGACTAGAAGGTAGCTTGGACAGGGAACCAGTGAATTAGGTTTCAAATAGGTCAAAGGATGTCTCCTATGGAATATCTGAGTAGAAATGTCTAGCAGGCATTTAGATACACCAGTCTGCAGTGCAGGAGAGAGGTCTGTGTAAAAATACAGACTTGAAAGTCATCAGCATGTAGATGATATGTAAAACAGTAGATATGAGTGAGATTTTCCAGAGAGAGGATGTAAAATGAAAATCAGAATGAGAAAATCCAGATTCTGGTAACAACACAGAAGCTAGGAGAACAAAATTTCAAGGTCAGATTTATCATCAATATCAAAGACAGCAGAGAGCTCCAATAAGAAACAGAATGAATAATGTCTAATGCAACTGACAAATGACAACTTATGATGTCCTTAGAGAAATTTCAGTAGTGTTAGGGAGCTGAGTTAGAATACAAAAATGAATGGGAAATATGGAAAGAATACACATTGACCTTCTTTCATTCCTTTCTTTTTCCACTCTTTTCTTTGGCTTCCTGAACATTCCCAGATGTGAAAAACAATCTTGGAATCAATCTAGTCAAATGCTTTGTATTCTGTGTGGGTTTAGAAAATGAAGACAGGCTTTGTTCTTGCTCTGAAACTGAATCTTTCTGAGATGTTGCAAGGTTTTTTTTTTTAACACGAAATTAAACTGGTTTTAGAAATACTCATATGTAAACCCTCAACCCTCTTATGAAGAATTTTTTTATATCTAAACTGAGTTACCATCAACTGGAAGGTTTCTTGTCAGCTCTCCAAGTTCTTCTTTGGTAAGTTCAATCCCCATGTTTCCTAGTACGTTGTCCAAGTCTCTGATATCTACTGTCTCTCCTTAGTAAAGAGAAAGAAATATGAAAATTCCCACTAATGCTGAAATGTTCCACCCTATATATGCTTATGCATTAAAGATTTTGTTTTGCAAGTAGACTTAAGATCACTGGAACTTGTTTAAATTTACACAGAGATTCAATATGGTTAGAATTAAGCTTAGTTCCCTTAAATCTTTTTAGAAGAATAAATATACACACCATAAACTTTCAAAGGGAACAAAATTAGCTTCCAGCATATTATTCTTATAATGAAAATAAGAATTTGTAGTGAAATGAGAAAATTACAATGGTTGGAATAAGAATACATGGGTTTGAAAACTGTTTTCTACTATTTATTATCTACAGGAACTTATTCAAGTAACCTAACTTCTTTGGTTTCCAGTTTTGTGTTGTATGAAATGAAAATGTTCCTACCTGTTTCACAGAGTTTCTGTGGGGATAAAGTTACCTGAAAGAACCTAGAACTCTGTCAGCATAGCAAGTGCTTGATACATTTTAATAACTACTTCTGAGCCAAAGGTAGGCTCATTTACCTTTTTAACCCAAACTAGACTCATTGTCCACTCTAACCACAATCACTGAATGGCAATTCTCTTGCATTTCACAATTAACCTTTAAAAATAAACTCAGTCTCTTCTCTAGGAAAGTGTATCAAAATGTGTATAAATATGATCAATATAAATAAACCAAAAAAGACATTCTGCCAAGATAAAAAATAACATAAATTATGTTAGATCCATATATTGGAAAGTAGCAGGATTCCTTATCAAGTGATTAGGAACTATGACGACAAAGAGGTAAATTGAGAGTGATTTGTTAATTCATCACCCATCTTACCATTGAAATCTTTCAAATCAGGTAAGATTTCATTCTGATACATCTTCTCAGACTTAGTTTATGTCTTTACTGTGAAATATATCTGATCACCTATTTATGGTCATTACTGAGAAAAAACTTGTTGTAAAAGACTAATATTTAGTTGAGAAGACAAACATTTAGCAAAGGGATATAACCGAATATATATTCATCATTGTGATGATTCATGTCTTTCTTTGGGATGAAGGGTAATGCTCAAACAGTGTACATCACAAAAGACATTCTTTTTTTTTTCTTCCCATATCTTATTTTCTTTTTTTTTTAAAATTTATTTATTATTGGCCGGGCGCGGTGGCTCAAGCCTGTAATCCCAGCACTTTGGGAGGCCGAGACGGGCGGATCACGAGGTCAGGAGATTGAGACCATCCTGGCTAACCCGGTGAAACCCCGTCTCTAGTAAAAAAATACAAAAAAATAGCCGGGCGAGGTGGCGAGCGTCTGTAGTCCCAGCTACTCGGGAGGCTGAGGCAGGAGAATGGCGTAAACCCGGGAGGCGGAGCTTGCAGTGAGCCGAGATCCGGCCACTGCACTCCAGGCTGGGCGACAGAGCGAGACTCCGTCTCAAAAAAAAAAAAAAAAAAAAAAAAAAAATTATTTATTATTATTATACTTTAAGTTGTAGGGTACATGTGCATAACGTGCAGGTTTGTTACATATGTATACTTGTGCCATGTTGGTGTGCTGCACCCATCAACTCGCCATTTACATCAGGTATAACTCCCAATGCAATCCCTCCCGCCTCCCCCCTCCCCATGATAGGCCCCGTGTGTGATGTTCCCCTTCCTGAGTCCAAGTGATCTCATTGTTCAGTTCCCACCTATGAGTGAGAACATGCAGTGTTTGGTTTCTGTTCTTGTGATAGTTTGCTAAGAATGATGGTTTCCAGCTGCATCCATGTCCCTACAAAGGACACAAACTCATTCTTTTTGATGGCTGCATAGTATTCCATGGTGTATATGTGCCACATTTTCTTAATACAAAAGACATTCTTAGATTTCCTACAATGGTAATAGTTCTTTACTAATAATGAGTAATGTCATTCATAGTAGTAACAATAGATTTCAGACCATGCTCTCCTATGCTACAGCTAAGTCAATACAAATGTTTCATAGCCTTTCCCCCAAGTTTGAAATCGACCAGTAATTCATACCTTTTGACACTGAACTTATTTCCATAATGCTAGAGTTTGGCCTTTTTTTGACTTTTCACCTGGCCTCTCATGCACCTGTTCCAGGAATCCAATCTAATGGGTGTGGATCTGTGAGCAGGTGCATACATATACACTCTTAAACTGATAATTCCCAAACCCTAATTGTTTGCAACCACTATGAGTCCACAAATAATGGAGATGGAAGTTTTGGGAAGGTAGAGGAGTGACAGAATGATCAGTCTTTCCCTTTTCCCATCTCTTCTCAATTCAAGTCTGCTTGATGTGTTCTGGCATGTTATAATTACTTAACCTTGATTCCTGGATTCTCCTGAATGCAAAAAATTAAGGATCTGGAAGTAGTTTGAAACTTCAGAATAAAGGCTGAAGCTCCCTCTTCTTATTTCTCAAAGGTCTGCACTCGGGAAAATAGGAGACAAGCGTAGAGATGGTCAGTAACAGTCCACCACATTCCAGTAGGAAGACCCAACAGAAGGATAATCCACCACATCAGGCTTTTCTCCTGGGGTCAGTCACCAGCATAAGCAACAGCACCAGCGAGACTGCATAACACATGATCTGTGAAGTCTATTGTAAGGTATCTATGATAGTGGCAAGACATCTTAAAAGAAAACAATTGCAGAAACCAGGCAGGCAGGGTATACTCAGTATATGCAGAAATAGAAACACAGGATAAAGGTATCACATCTTTCAGGACAGATAATATTTACAAAGAGAGAAAAGGGAAGAGGGCATCCCAGGTGGCACATGTAGGCTTTAAATCCTACAGCTAATATGGAGATGAAGCTATTTGGTGACAGTGATGGTGGGAGGAGAAAATCAATCCATTGTGGTGGCAGGGTGCCATGTTATCAGCATACCAGGACTTGGCAGGGTCCCAGGGGACAATTCTTTTATGCAGAAAGTGCACACATGTGGACTCCACAAGTAGCATCTCCCCTTATTAGCCTTCACACTGGAAGCAGATGGGCAACAGGTACACCAGCCCTGCTGGAATTCATAATAAAAACTGGCAATCGCAGAACCACAAAAGGCCAGAGCAACACCTACAGGCTGGCTGGGGCTCAGCTGGAAGAACTGGAATGGAACACTTTGGCGATCATCAGAGCTTAAACACCAGGAAGGCTTGAGAGGAGGAGTACACAGGGACATCTGGAAGCAGGAAGTAAATACTTGACTTTAGAACTATTTCCCTATAGACTGGGATACCGAAAAAAGGGAACCAAGGTACAAATTCAGACCAGAAGAAGCCTGGAAGAAGAAACAAGACAGGGGCCAGTCAGTAGCAGTTGGGCATAAGCAAGAGGTACATCACATGGTAAGAAGTAAGAAACAGCTGCTGGTCCTGTGATTGGGTGGGCAGCCAGGATGACAGGATAGATAAGCACTCTCAGTTATGAAGATCAGAAGGATGGTGAAGACAAATATCACTACAATCTGGAATCTTAAACCATTATTTCCACCAACCAAAACAATGTGGTTATGGCACAATGTCTCCTTAACCTGTAGGTTCTGCACTAGCTTCACGGAATCCAAGAAACAGGTAAAATGCACCTAAGATGGCTTCATAAATCTTCACATTCCATTATTCCATTTCCATTTCCATAACATTCTTTTTTATATATATATACTTTAAGTTCTAGGGTACATGTGCACAAAGTGCAGGTTTGTTACATATGTATACATGTGCCATGTTGGTGTGCTGCACCCATTAACTTGTCATTACATTAGGTATATCTCCTAATACTATCCCTCCCCCTCCCCCCTCCACACAATAGGACCCAGTGTGTGATGTTCCCCTTCCTGTGTCCAAGTGATCTCATTGTTCAATTCCCACCTATGAGTGAGAACATGCGGTATTTGGTTTACTGTTCTTGCGATAGTTTGCTGAGAATGATGGTTTCCGGCTGCATCCATGTCCCTAACAAAGGACAAGAACTCATCCTTTTTATGGTTGCATAGTATTCCATGGTGTATATGTGCCACATTTTCTTAATTCAGTCTGTCACTGATGGACATTTGGGTTGATTCCAAGTCTTTGCTATTGTGAATAGTGCCGCAATAAACATACATGTGCATGTGTCTTTATAGCAGCATGACTTATAATTCTTTGGGTATATCCCCAGTAATGGGATGGCTGGGTCAAATGGTATTTCTCGTTCTGGATCCTTGAGGAATCGCCACACTGTTTTCCACAATGGTTGAACTAGTTTACAGTCCCACCAACAGTGTAACAGTGTTCCTATTTCTCCACATCCTCTCCAGCACCTGTTGTTTCCTGATTTTTTAATGATTGTCATTCTAACTGGTGTGAGATGGTATCTCATTGTGGTTTGATTTGCATTTCTCTGATGGTGAGTGACGATGACCATTTTTTCATGTGTCTGTTGGCTGTATGAATGTCTTCTTTTGAGAAGTGTCTGTTCATATCCTTTGCCCACTTTTTGATGGGGTTGTTTGCTTTTTTCTTGTAAATATGATTGAGTTCTTTATAGGTTCTGGATATTAGCCCTTTGTCAGATGAGTAGATTGCAAAAATTTTCTCTCATTCTGTAGCTTGCCTGTCCACTCTGATGGTAGTTTCTTTTGCTGTGCAGAAGCTCTTTAGTTTAACAGGTACCAGCCATTGCAAAAACATGTCAAAATGTAAAGTCCATCAATGCTAGGAAGAAACCACATCAACTAGCAAGCAAAATAACCAACTAATATCATAATGACAGGATCAAGTTCACATATAACAATATTAACCTTAAATGTAAATGGACTAAATGGTCCAATTAAAAGACACAGACTGTCAAATTGGATAAAGAGTCAAGACCCATCAGTTTGCTGTATTCAGGAGACCCATCTCACATGCAGAGACACACATAGGCTCAAAATAAAGGGATGGAGGAAGATCTACCAAGCAAATGGAAAACAAAAAAAAAGCAGGGGTTGCAATCCTAGTCTCTGATAAAACAGACTTTAAACCATCAAAGATCAAAAGAGACAAAGAAGGCCATTACATAATGGTAAAGGGATCAATTCATCAGGAAGAGCTAACTATCCTAAATATATATGCACCCGATACAGGAGCACCCAGATTCATAAAGCAAGTCCTTAGAGACTTATAAAGAGACTTAGACTCCCATACAATAATAATGGGAGACTTTAACACCCCACTGTCAACATTAGACAGATCAACGAGACAGAAAGTCAAGGATATCCAGGAATTGAACTCAACTCTGCACCAAGTGGACCTAGTAGACATCTAGATAACTCTCCACCCCAAATCAACAGAATATACATTCTTCACAGCACCACATATCACTTATTCCAAAATTGACCATAGTTGGGAGTAAAGGACTCCTCAGCAAATGTAAAAGAACAGAAATTATAACAAACTGTCTCTCAGACCACAGTGCAATCAAACTAGAACTCAGGACTAAGAAACTCAATGAAAACCGCTCAACTACATGGAAACTGAACAACTGCTCCTGAATGACTACTGAGTACATAACAAAATGAAAGCAGAAATAAAGATGTTCTTTGAAATCAATGAGAACAAAGATACAACATACCAGAATCTCTGGGACACATTTAAAGCAGTGTGTAGAGGGAAATTTGTAGCACTAAATGCCCACAAGAGAAAGCAGGAAAGATCTAAAATTGACACCCTAGCATCACAATTAAAAGAATGAGAGAAGCAAGAGCAAACACATTCAAAAGCTAGCAGAAGGCAAGAAATAACTAAGATCTATAACATTCTTAGAGATGAAACTATAGTGGAGAACAGATCACTGATTGACAGCCTAAATAGAAAAGTTTAAAAAAAAAAAAGGCAAAATACAACTCACAGAGAAGAGAAATAAAATTCATAAAATAGTTTAAGTTTCATAAAGGAGCACTTTTCTGATTTGCCTTAAAAATTAGGAATATCTGATGAGGACGATGAAGGAAAAAAAAAAGGAATATCTTCACTGGCTGGCCGTGGTGGTTCACACCTGTAATCCCAGCACTTTGGGAGGCCAAGGAGGATATCTTGGGCCCAGCAGTTCAAGACCAGCATGGGCAACATAGCAAGACCTTGTCTCTAAACAAACGAAAAACATAAAAAACAAAAAAAAGAAAGAAAGAAAAGAAATATCTTCATTAAAATATGGAAGCGAGACCAAAATCTTGTCACTCTTGAAGCAATTGTTAGTGACACCCTGTCATGCTGAATATGTGTACAGGTATAACACTTTAAATTATATCAATGTACTTTTCTTTCTCACATTTCCTTTCTTTCAAGCAACCTTTCCCAAATCAGTCATAGAATTTACACTACTTCAAAAGAAAAAACTTGTTTTTAATGTTTAAAGGCTACTTTTACAAAGCAGAACTTCAAGGTCTAACACTTAGTGTTACTGTAAACTAGAGGACTGAGAGGCCAAAAATTACATAAGGGAAACTCTTTTCCTCCCTCTTTCTACCCTCTACTTGATAAGAAGAGAAAAGAAAAAATCCACTATATGGTTTAAGAAAGTGCAACTGGGAAGAGAAATAGTTACAGTAATATATTTTTATCTAGCTATCATCTGTCTATCTACCTACCTATCTAACTACTTATCACCTTTCATCTATTTCTCTTTTATCTATTTATCTCCATTTACAGAGAGGTTTAAGTGTTCTTGCAGCCTACTGCCCACCTTCCATCTCCACCAGAACTCCCCTCTCTAAGAGGAGATAAGATAGAAGAAAAACTCCAGATATGCCGGTGGGATGAGGATGGGGTATGAAAAAAGCAACAAAGACCTGGGTCACACTTTCTATTTGGAACTTTGTGAAGTTACCACCTCACTAAGTGCTCAGGCATTAGCATTCCATTGTCATGAAGGATAGATATTGTGGCATGGTGTATGTAGGCAGACAAAGGGCTGAAAATATGCCATCCCTTGGTCTCCTTTGGTTTTTGTGTGATATGTGAGAAATTCAGATACTTCCATGTACTTCCAGTGAGGAATGTGAAAGGTATATCAGAGATGAAGGCCAGTGGGGTTTGCCATGGGATATCAAGTCAAAGGGCAAGATGATTCCTAACGCAAGCTATTGGGGTAAACAGCCCAGTCTGGGTACAGACAAAACACTTAACTGAGACTCAAAGGCCCTCATCACCAGTGAGTGCCAAGGCTGAGCCAAGTTAGGGAAGGAAGGATCACAGAATCTTGACTTTGCAGAGAAAACAGATCGTGAATTTTTCAAGCAGTAGAATTCTGCAGGAGAGGTCAAACAGGATCCATGGAAACCCATGAAATATGAGACATTGCTAAAGAGTATCAAGAACCCAGACAATAAGACAAAGTCTGGCTGCCCTCTTCTACCACCAGGAAGACATTCAAGCTTTCCCTTATACTGGGGTGCCTTTCTGAGGGGAAGTAAGGGAAAGACTTGAAAACTGATAATTTCCCAAAATGAGCTGGGTCAGCCAAAAGACATTGATTTTTTGCTTAAACCAGAAGAAACTGGATTACCGGTCAATTTAAGCTGTACCCTCTCACCTTTCAACATCCTACCCACAGCCAGAATAGGATGGGGGACTGACAGAGAAATGAGGTTAGAAAAAATGAACACACCACATTTACTGCGTATCTCAGTTTGCAGTATGTCAAATTTGAATTTGCTACACACACATACCCATTCCTCTAATATTTTTTGTCTTTATGACTACTTCCCTACTTTCTTCCTCTGTACCTCTCAGACTTGTTTCCCTTTTTTTTATACTTAGACTTTAGGCCTGTAGGTAATTCTGGTATACCATTCGAAATTGTTTAATACTGATGGAAGAACTTGTAAGTGAATGGTTTGCTGCTATAAATATACCAAAAATTCAATCACAAAACAGTTTTATCTTTCATTACAGTTATATGAGCTAATGTTTTCCTCAACATATTTTATGAAACATTAGTATGATGACATAGATCTGGAAATTTTCACACATAAGCCTCAAACAAAGGTCCCTTGAAGGGAAATTCATCAGCTGAACATTTCCTTATCTGTGAGTTTAACCGACATACTCCCAGGAATATTCTGAAAGTCACTGGGATCAATTTTCTTTCCTTTGAAAGATTAGAAAAAGAGCCCAGAAAAACATTTAAGAATTATTTAATAATTGCAACATAAGCAAAATACCTAGCATGCTTGTATCACTCTAATTCAGCTATAGATAAAAATAAAGATATGAGCTATTTCCAATTAATTGCATAGTCTAAAATAGTCATATTTTGGTAATCCTCTTATAATTCCAGGTCAGATATTATATTATATATCAACAACCTAAAATTATTTACTAACTCTCTGTTAGTTATTATATATATATAAAATAATCGTTATCTTCTCTTGTATTATGAAGATGGTTGTCTATATATAGATACAATCTGAAGAAAAATTACATACATTTTATCCTCATATTTACCCTCCAAGCCTCTAGTCCTTCACTTATAAAATGAAGATTATAATAGTAACTGTATAATAGATATAACAGTAACAAATGAATTAATGCATGCAAAGCACTTGGCACAGTGCCTGGTATATAGAAAGTGTGCACTACATAGTAGTCATTATTATTTTTATTACACTGACTTAGGTTTCATATTTCTAAAGTATAACAAGTGAAGCATGCTATTGGTAATACCTCTAGAGAATGGAGGACTTCTGTCAAGAAACAGCACTATAATTTTATTTTGAGAACACTGAAATTCAAAGTAGTTCATTAGAAAACATTTGTATTAGTTAATAAAGTGGCAGAAGTTACAAAGAAATGGTTACATATTCAAAATACTGTTGCAAAAAAAATTTTATAAAGCATTAGTATCTCAGTTTTATATCAACTTCTTACCTGTAACAGGTATAGCTGCATGCACTAGTTTAATACGTTTCACTTTCCCATCAGCTATAAAACAAAACAAATCACAGAGGCTACAGTGAGATTCAAAAACACAATGTGAAATTCTTTTTTTTTTTTTTTTGCAACGGAGTCTGGCTCTGTCTCCCAGGCTGGAGTGCAATGGCGTGATCTCATCTCACTGCAATCTCTGGCTAACAGGTTCAAGCGATTCTCCTGCCTCAGCCTCCCGAGTAGCTGGGACTATAGGCGTGTGCCACCATGCCCAGCTAATTTTTGTATTTTTAGTAGAGACAGGGTTTCACCATTTTGGCCAGGATGTTTTCGATCTCTTAACCTCATGATACGCCCACCTCAGCCTTCCAAAGTGCTGGGATTACAGGCGTGAGCCACCGCGCCCGGCCTGTGAAATTCTTAACTGTGAGACAGAGCATAACAAATCAACAATTTCCCACTATTTTCACTATAACTGTATTTTTACTATCCCTCCCCATACCATAAGAACATGGAAAAAAGGAGCATTTGAAAAATTATACCCATGCTTTTTTTTCGTTAAAGTGCTGTGGTGTTAAAATCTACTTATAGCATTAGAGCAAAAAAAAAAGTTTTTTTTAAGACGATGCAGAGTCCTTTAATGATGTTTACTCTTTACTCTTCTTGATATCCATAACTTGAATACTATGATGTAAAGTTAACAATAATTACATTCTATGATATAAAGTCAATATGTTTGTGTTACATGATAAGGGGATAAGAGAGGGAATATACGTGCATATACACATATTCATAACAAATTAAGGAAGAAGTATTCATGATGTTATGATAATTACAGGTCCTTATCTTTGTAACTGATCATGTGGCTGTAGCAGGTATTTATAACTACCTTCTTCCAAGGCTCATTCCGTATTCTCTTTGCAAGCATCTTAGCTAGTCATACTTCTTTACCTGGTTGGGTGTTCTAAATCTTAATTCCTGAAGGGTCTGGGCCATTAGGAGTCCTGCCTGGATTGAGTTGTTATAGTTTTCCATTGGTATAATCCAGGATGTGGTAACACTAACAGACGCTCTGAGAGATCTTGTGTATTCTAGATATATTCTTCTTTCTTACCTGCATTGTAGTGGGCAGTCCAGTTTCTCCTAGTCCTCCAAGCACTTTGGGTAATTCTCTTTATTATTATTATTATTACTTTTAATTATACTTTATGTTCTAGGGTACATGTGCACAATGCGCGGGTTTGTTACATATGTATACGTGTGCCATGTTGGTGTGCTGCACCCATTAACTGGTCATTTACATTAGGTATATCTCCTAATGCTATCCCTCCCCGCTTCCCCCACCCCACAACAGGCCCTGGTGTGTGATGTTCCCCTTACTGTGTCCAAGTTAGAGCAAAAATTTTAAAGTATTTTCCTCCATATCATTTGATCTCCTAACCTCTCTAATTTGTTCTCTTTCACTCAAGGAAGGAAAGAAAATGAAATTTAATGCATGTCTACCAAGCCATATATTGTGACGGATGCTTTCATATAATGCATCTATCTCATACTTCTATTAAGTTACTATGACTCCTTTTATTAAAAAACATATAAAGAAGTTGAGTCTCAGAAAAGTAAGAACCTTGCCTAAATCACAACGTTAGTATGAGATTGAAAACTGTATCTGTCAGATTCCTAACTCAACATTTGTTCCATTCCAAGTCAAGTAGGCTGCTGGGGCAGGATTTAAAAGCAGCACAATCACTTGCACCAACATTCTTAAAACTGACCATGGTCACACTTAGTACTCAGTGAGCACCTTTGATAAGCTGATATTTCTAACCCCTAAATTATTTTCACTTATACTTTTTTGCCTATATATTTCTCTTCTCCCTTAATCTAATGCACCTTTAAAAACAAACACTAAGTTTTATATTTTTATAAATTTCATCTCCAGAGCCTAGCATGGGGTTTTGCTTCTTTGAATTTACTTCAAGAAACATAGAATATTGTAAAATATCATGAAGGTAGTGCTCAGTTCAGCAAAATGAAATGCTTACTTTTGGACTGAGTTCCCTTAACATGTGTCAGTTGTATTTGAAGAACTAAAAAAATAGAATTTTAAAAATGTGAAATCATAAACCCACAATCCCAAATTATCCTTTCAGGGGGACGAGGGTGTGTATAATACTCATAATTACCTGGCCAATTGTGTGACAGTTCTTCAAATTCCTTATCAGAGAAATTCATTTCCATTTTCTCTAGAATGGTGTCAAGGTTATCAATAGCAACCTTTCCCTCTTGGAAAAGAGAAAGAACTATGAAAAAGGTATCATGACTCTACAACACCAAAACAATGTCTATATATTATCAATACTATGTCCAAAATCTATCCAATGGCAATGAAGTTTAATATCAGAATTAGAAATAAAATGTATTTCATTAGGCTTATGTTAAAGAAAATCCTATTCAGCAAGATTTCTAAAAGGAGGCTGACTCCAAACGTCAGTTCAAATGTTACTCTTCTCTACCAGGCAGTCCCTAACTATCCTATTTAAAGTAACCCTGCCATCTTCCACTGTTGATCATGTTACCTTCTTTTTCTTTCATAGCACATATTGCTTTATAAAATCATCTCATTTTTATTTATTAATTTCTCCCTCACCTTAGTGGGAATATGAGTTTCACGAAGGCAGGAACATTGTCTGATTCACCACTGTATTTCCTATGCCTGTAATACTAGAGAAGTACCTAGTACTATAAGACCACAGTCAATGTTAATTAACTGAATGGATGATAGCACTGAAGGCAAGGACTCTAATATTAAAACATTAGACAAATAAATGTTGTCCAGACTATCTAAAAAGGTAGTCTCCATTGCTGATAAAATCCTTAAGTCTCTATTTCACATTTTTGTTGCATAGACACAGAGGTTGTTTTTTTCCTCGCCTATCAAGATTGGAGCTTCTTTCCAAAATATGAAACAGTTTATCATGTGATATTAATGGATAAATATCTAAAATAATAACAAACCAATTAATATATGGTGGCAAGACTGACACTCTGATGACTAGGAAATGGTATAAGAATCAAAGCAAAAGGATCACAGTTACTGCCTTTTCATCTTACTTTTTTTTTCTGAGACAGAGTCTTGCTTTGTCACCCAGGCTGGAGTGCAGTAAGTGCAATCTCGGCTCATTGCAACCTCCGCCTCTCAGGTTCAAGCAAGTCTCTTACCTCAGCCTCCCAAGTAGCTGGGATTACAGGTGCCTGCCACCAAGCCTGGCTAATTTTTGTATTGTTAGTAGAGATGGGGTTTCACCATGTTGGCCAGGTTGGTTTCAAACTCCTGACCTCAAGTGATCCACCTGCCTAGGCCTCCCAAAGTGTTTGGATTACAGGCATGAGCCGCTGTGCCCGGCCTCATCTTATTTTTAAGAGCCTCTATTACATCTATTTGCTTCATCTGATTTATTTTTTTCTTTTGCAATAAAAGGCAAAATATAATGATTTATAAACACTGTGAAAGACTCCAACATTTCATAAATAAATTTAGAAAGTTAAAATTTCTTTTAGAATTCTGCATGACAGTCTTTCCAAATGAAAGTAGGACATTTAGAATACTTTTCATTTAGTAATATGATGATTAGTAACTCATATCCATTCTTAATCTTTCTCTACTCCCACCTACTTCTGCCATCATATCCTAATTATTTAGGAGCAAATCACAGACATCATATCAAATCATCTGTAAATATTTCAATATGTATGAATAAAATATAAGAGAACTGTAAAAAATATGACTATTAAATCATTATCATGCTAAAATTGTTAACAAGTATTCCTTAAATTATCAAGTATCGGCCGGGCGCGGTGGCTCAAGCCTGTAATCCCAGCACTTTGGGAGGCCGAGGCGGGCGGATCACAAGGTCAGGAGATCGAGACCACAGTGAAACCCCGTCTCTACTAAAAATACAAAAAATTAGCCGGGCGCGGTGGCGGGCGCCTGTAGTCCCAGCTACTCAGGAGGCTGAGGCAGGAGAATGGCGGGAACCCGGGAGGCGGAGCTTGCAGTGAGCCGAGATCGCGCCACTGCACTCCAGCCTGGGCAACAGCGTGAGACTCCGTCTCAAAAAAAAAAAAAAAAAAAAAAAAAAAAATTATCAAGTATCCAGTTTGTGTTCATATTTCTCTGATTGTCTCAATTTTATATGAGTTTGTTGAAATAATGATCCTAATAAAGTCTGTTATCTGTAATTGCAAATGCTATTGCATCTTTTAGGTCTCTTTAAAAAAATTTTTTTTTTAGCTTTTACATTGATATAGAGAGGTTTGTTCAATTCATACAAATAATTTTTCAGATCTATACAGTAAGCCTGAGCTGAGGGGAAAAAAAATCCTTACGTTGATAGCAAAATATCTTCTAGCCCTCATAAGTCATCTGCAATCCCTTACTAGGGAAAAAATTCCATAATCACATAGATCATGCAAACACTTTTTAATGTTATTGGTATTCACTTTTCTAAACTGAGCAAAACAATGCAACCTTTTGCTTTTTTATGGATTTCAATTTTCACATATATTAATGTTTCTTCCAACCTTGATCCAGCTTATTACCTACAGGAATGAGATAAGGGGTGAGAAAAAGATTCCTGAATTTTCTCATTTTCCTCCTTTTTCCTTGAAGCAAATCAAGAATTCATTAAAAATTTTTATGCTGCATTTTCTTTTTCTTTATTTTTAAATTTTATTTCAACTTTTATTTCAGATACGGGAGTACATGTGCAGATTTGTTACATGGGAATATTGTATGATGCTGAGGTTTGGGGTACGGATCCCAACATTTAAATTTTTATAAACCAGAACCATAACAAAAGACTCAATGGAGTAAATAAACAAATAGGTATCCAAATGTCAGTAATCTAATAGGCCCTAATACAGCTTTAAGATAATTTCACTTTAACATGGAAGTGTTAGAACAGAAAAGAAGTTTCCCAAGAGGCACTCATCTTTAAAATAAATTATGGCTTAAATTATTACTGTATAGATTATATCAGGCAAAGGCAGAAAGAATTATTTTTTTCTTCCTTTCACGAAGCACTGTAAATCATCTACCATCTTGATCAACTGTGTTTATTGAAAGTTTTCTTAACCTTAGACATTTTTATGGGAGTAAAATAATTAGCAAATAATCATTTAATTGCTTCTCTCCTCCTAGTCTAGCCACATAAACCAGCCGTAATGGATGATACAGATTTCAGCTCTAATTTGTGAAATATTCCAAGAGCTGCCACACTCCCTAAAACTAGAGAAAACTGCCACCCACAAATAAACTATCAAGGTAAATATAAGTACAGTGTGGTTCTAATTTTCTTTCATACGATCCCAGACAACCTCAAATAACTATAAATGCCTTATAAAAAAAAAGTCATTTTAAAACCTTCAAAAGTACTTAAAATATTTAAATGAAGAGCTCTCAAATTTCCTTCGATCAGGCCAGAAATCATTACAAAAATATGATCACAGTTACAAATGGAATGAGTGAAATGTTTAAGTTTGGGACGACCAAAAAGCCCTATGTAACTTTTTAAACATAATCATTTACTCAAATATACTGTAAATGGGAATGGTGATAACACAGGGAGCATAGCTTGCAGGTGAAGTTTCTAGAAGTTCATGAAAACAATGCCATCCCATATTACAGATACAAAAGGAAAAACAGTTCTAATAGAGTTAAGAGTACTCTGGTCATCTTTGTTCATTTGGTCATGCAAGGTGTTAACTATTTTCATTTCCCATGACACAAGATAGTCCATAGGAGGAGCTAGTGGATATTGTCCATTATGAAGGGATGATGGAAGCTGGACCAAGGCTTAGCACCTGAAAGACCATCTGGAGCTTCCAGAACCCTGTGGCTACTCCAGATGCCACTCAGGTCCCTTTTAATTCATAGGTCCTGACTCTATCTCATTTTTCTCTGCAGTTTTTTTTGTTGTTGAAAACACTACGTTGTTAGCCCCTTAGAGTTTCCCGTAACCTGTATTTTGCATTTTCATCAGAAAATAATGTCTAATTTTCTTTATTTTTGAGTGATAGTAGTGATCACTGATAATTATAGGCTAGACCCATTAAATTATTAGGGTTTGCAAAATCCTCATATTCAATGTCAATCATTCCTTTTCCTGCTAAGCTGCAATACATAAGACAAACTTCCTCTTCGGTTATTTGGTTACTATAAATTAAAGTTTGTATAGAAAGTGCTTATTTCCCTCTATTTACCAGTCTCAAAATAATTTGTTTCCTAGAATCTTCCAGTGATGATTTGTGATGATTTTGTTAGTTGTGTGTTTTGTTGTTTCACTTGAGTATCATTTAAAAACTCATGGATTTAAAGATTTGTTTCAAATTACCGCAATTATTCTTACTGATGATCAAATTGTGCTATCTTTGGCCAGAGGGAACCCATTCAAGTCAGAGTTTGAGTCCTTTTGATATAAACCTAGTAGTACTGGATAGGTTCATTGCTTTCTGACACTATAAAATACTCCAGGCTCTTCTTGTACATTTTCTTTGGCATACCTGGGATCAGCCATTTCTCCAAAAAGCCATTCTTACAGGAGGTAGCTAGTCAGACATGAACAGAGCAGGAGACACTCTGGCTCCGCCCACCCCTATACACCAGGAATGTCAGGTGTCCATCAGGTCCTGGTCAGGTGGTTGTTAACTCTCTCTCTGAAAGTATAATCTGTCACAGCCAGCACCAGGAAAAGGTAGCCTCTCAATAAACAGAAACACCTAAAATTGGTGATCAGAAGCTTCCCAATATGACCTCAAGAGTTGGGTGAGTGGGCTCAAGCATGTACATTAAGAAGCAAAATGACAGAGTTTAACTGGTATATGACGTTCTAGGGATATTCAGCTGGTAAGGGAAGAACACCTCAAGTGAACAAGGCATACAACTCCAGTAAACACACTGTGCATGCTCTCCTTGCAAGTGCTAGCAGGCCATTGTGCATGTGCACAGCACACCCCAAGGGAAAAATCAGGGTAGAAGGGATGTAAGACTCTGGAAGTACGTCAACATATAAAACCGCATGTCAAAAGGTCAAAGTGCACACTTGTCTTTCAAGTTGCCCATTTTGCCCTCTTCCAAGTGTATGTTCCTTTCTTTTGTTCCTGCTGTGAAGCTTTTTAATAAACTTTCACTCCTACTCTAAAACTTGCCTCAATCTCTCTTTCTGCCTTATGGCCTTTAGTCAAATTAAATTCTTTCTTCTGAGGAGGCAAGAATTGAGGTTGCTGCAGACCTGTACTGGTTCACTGTTGCTAACATACTTTGATGCCATGTCTTGGATACGTTCTGCTGATAACACCATGCTTCCTTTTAAAGAAGGGAGATACAGAATTTGGAGACTACAATCTGGGTTTTAGGGGCTGTGTTGTAACAAAAACATATTTTGTCTTGGTCCTCAGTTCCTGTCCCAGAGTGATGAGAGTGTCTTTGTTATTTATAAGGAGCCCCTTTAGACCATACTTGAGTTATGCTAATGAAGCAACTCATGGCATGGATCCCTGTATAGCTTGCGGCAGAGGAGGTTGGTTATAAGAAAACCAATCACGTGATTAGAGAGTTTAAACTTTCAGCACCACCCCCATTCCCTGACCTCTGGAGAAGAGAAAGGGACTAGAGATTGAGTTCAATCATATGACCAATGATTTAATGAGTCATGCCTATATAATGAAACCCGAGATAAAAACTGAAACAGGCGGCCGGGCGCGGTGGCTCAAGCCTGTAATCCCAGCACTTTGGGAGGCTGAGACGGGCGGATCACGAGGTCAGGAGATCGAGACCATCCTGGCTAACACAATGAAACCCCGTCTCCACTAAAAATACAAAAAAATTAGCCGGGCGTGGTGGCGGCGCCTGTAGTCCCAGCTACTCGGGAGGCTGAGGCAGGAGAATGGCGGGAACCCAGGAGGCGGAGCTTGCAGTGAGCCGAGATCGCGCCACTGCACTCCAGCCTGGGCGACAGAGCGAGACTCCGCCTCAAAAAAAAAAAAAAAAAAAAAAAAAAAAAAAAAAAAAACTGAAACAGGCTTGGAGAACTGCTAGGTTGGTAAATAATATTAATGTGCTAGGAGGATGGCATGCTTAAAGAAGGCACAGAAGCTCTGTCCCCACCCACCTTGCCACCCTATATATATATCTTCATCTAGCTGTTCATGTGTATGCTTTATAATAAACTAGTAATCTTAAGTATAGTCTTTTCCTGAGTTCTGTGACTTGTTCTAGTAAATTTGTGAACCCAAGCAGGGGTGGATGTAGGAATCTCTGAATTTTTACAACTGGTTGGTCAGCAGTGTGGATGGCCCACTGACTTATGGCTAGAATCTAAAGTAAAAGTAGTCTTGTGGTATTAAGCATTTTAAACTGTGGGGCCCATACTAACTCTAGGTAGTCAGTGTCAGAACTCAATTGAATTGTAGGACATTCAGTGTCAGAGAGTTGGTTATTGGAATGACAGGTGTGCTCTTCAATAAAAGGCTAGTTAGTAATTGGTTCCAGGCCTTTTCCATGGACATAATTAGGAAATATGCATTTTTAAGATAAATTACATCATGAAATCATAGTTATATATTCACAATCCAGGGTGTTTTAAAATAAATCTCATTTATCTAAATTAATATTTCCTTTCTCCTAAGCCAAAAGTCACCATTCTCAACAATACCAACATAATGACTCATATGCTTTATCCCACAGAATATACACAAGAGTCTCAGAATAATGCCACAAAAACTAACAATAATAAGCTAATTGTTGAAAATATTTTCAGGGTTATTGTTATCATCTTTGCAGATATTTTTGTCCTTTGATATTCCATTCAGGGGTGCACAGTCAAATTCATATTTTTTATAAAATTGTTTGAAGTAGTTCCTTTCTATGTTTTAAGCTATCAAATCAATATAAAGTCAGGTTCATCTGATTTTGCTTTCAATTTTTAGAAACTGTTTTTTAAAAAATTGCTAAATAATTATGTAAAATATTTACAAAAATCCAAAGTTAAATATTTATTCAAAATAGGAGGCTGGGCATGGTGGCTCACGCCTGTAACCCCAACAGTTTGGGAGGCCATGGCGAGCAGATCACTTGAGGTCAGGAGTTCGTGGAGAGCCTGGCCAACATGGTGAGACTCCGCTCCCCTCTAAAAATACGAAAATTAGCTGGGCATGGTGGCAGGCGCCTGTAATCCCAGCTACTCAGGAGGCTGAGGCAGGGGAATTGCTTGAACCCAGGAGGTGGAGGTTGCAATGAGCCAAGATTATGCCACTGCATTCCAGCCTTGGTGATAAGAGGGAGACTCCATCTCAAAAAAAAAAAAAAAAAAAAAAAAAAGATACATTTTTTAAGTGCATCCTCTTCTCCAGTTTTATTCACCTTGTTCCTTCCCACTCCTGAGAGTAACTATTTAAAAATTGTATATCTGATACTTCCATTTCTCTTTTTAAATCTTTGTTGAGTCATAATTTACATACAATAAACCACAATTTTAAGTGTTCAGTGTGATAAGTTTTGACAAACACATACACCCATGTAAACAACACTAAAATTATGATATAAAACATTTCCATCATCTCCCAAAAGTTCCCTTTCTATGTTGTTGGTCCCTCTAAAACATAAATCTAAACAATCACTGATGTATTTTCTGGTATTACGTTTGCTTGTTCTTGAATTTCATAAAAAGTATCATGTAGTTAGTATTATTTTGTGTCTGTCTTCTGTTACTCAGCATAATGTTTTGAAATTCATCCAGAATGTGACCTGTTATCTGTAAATCATTCATTTATATTGCAGAGTAATATTCCATTGTATGAATACTATACTTTGTTGATCCCTTTGTGGGTAAATGGACATTAGGATTATTTCCAATTTTTAACTCTTATGAATAAAGCTATGAGCATTCATGCACAAATATTTTTGAGAACATTTACATTTCTTTCTCTTGGAAAAATATATAGGAGTGAGAATGCTGAGTTTTACAGTAAGTTTATGTTCAGTTTCTTTCTTTTTTTTTTTTTTTTTTTTTTGAGGCAGGGTCTCCCTCTATCGCCCAGGCTGGAGTGCAGTGGTGCGATCTTGGCTCACTGCAAACTCCACCTCCTGGGTTCAGGCCATTCTCCTGCCTCAGCCTCCCCAGCAGCTGGGACTACAGGCGCCCGCCACAACACCCAGCTAAGTTTTTTGTATTTTTAGTAGAGACAGGGTTTCACCATGTTAACCAGGGTGGTCTTCATCTCCTGACCTCGTGATCCGCCCACCTCGGCCTCCCAAAGTGCTGGGATTACAGGCGTGAGCCACTGCGCCCAGCCTTATGTTCAGTTTCTTAAGAAACTACCATGCTGATCTCCACAGTGGTTAGAAGACCCTCTAGCAATTATGAATTTCAATTGCTCCACATCACTACCAACAACGGGTACTGTTGATCTTTTTATTTTTAGTTATTTTAGTGGATGAATAGTGAGATCTATTTATGTTTTAAATTGCATTTCCCTGAGAGAAACAGGAATGCTTTCCTACTGTTGGTGAGAATATAATTAGTTCAACCATTGTGAAAGATGGTGTGGTGATTCCTTAAAGATCTAGAACCAGAAATACCATTTGACCCAGCAATCCAGTTACTGGGTATGTACCCAAAGGAACAGAAATAATTCTATTACAAAGATACATGCATGAGTATGTCCACTGCAGCACTATTCACAATAGCAAAGACATGGAATCAACCCAAATGCCCATCAATGATAGAGTGGATAAAGAAGATGTGGTACATATACACCATGGAATATTATGCAGCCACAGAAAGGAATGAGATCATGTCCTTTGCAGGGCCATGGATAGAGCTGAAAGCCATTATCCTTAGCAAACTAATGCAGGAACAGAAAATCAAACACTGCATGTTCTCACTTAAAAGTGGTAGCTGAACGATGAGACAGATGGAAACATTGGGGGAACAACACACACTGGGACCTGCCACTGGGGGTAAGGGGAAGAGCATCAGGAAGAGTAGCTAATGGATGCTGGCCTTAATACCTAGGTGATGGGTTGAGCTGTGCAGCAACCCACCATGGCACACATTTACTTATGCAACAAACCTGCACATCCTGCACATCACGTAACCCGCGATTTAAAATAAAAGTTGAAGAAAAAAAAAAAAAGAATCAGATCACACCTATGAGTGATCTTCAGCCTGCCCCATTTCTGGTCCAAGAACTTTTGAAACTCTAATTGCCTAACCTCCTCCTGGCCTTCTTCTCCATTTCTTAGTATCTTACTTTCAGGCCTTCTCTTTCCTTCTATGTCTACTCATTTACCATCTTATTTTCCTTTATTTGTTTTTCTTTTCCTAAGTCACTCATGGTAGAGTCACTCTCAGATATTGCTTAAGCCTGTCAATGACACCAAAGAATTGTAAGAGAAGACAATATTCTAATGTATTTAAGAGTTAACCTTTCTGAATACATTTCAAAGCTGCAACATGGCAAAATAGGTATTGTTTAACTAATTCTCATAGATAAGATATGCTCCTTTAAAAATATCAGCAATGCCAGAAATGTTTACCATCAACTGGTAAGTGTTCTTGTAGATTCCAAGATTCCTTATTTGTGAGTTCCACTCCCAACTTCTCCTGAATATTGTTAGGCTTTTTAGCATTAACCTTGTCTCCTTAAGAAAAATGACACAAATTAGAGGAAAAAAAATCTGTTTATCTATGTGCACATATACATAACATAATATCTGAGATAAAAGTACTCTGTGCATGTTGTGCTTTCAAGCAAACTTGCATGATTATGTTTGTTTTAAAATACATATAAAATAAATAGCAAAATTAGCAACAGAACCTGATATCATTAATCCTTGTTCAAGGATCAAAATTATACCTCTGATGACCAGCCTAAGCCAAATTTTTTTAATGTGAAGTCGGTAATTGTCTACCACTAAATTTCACCAGTAGATAATAATTCAATTATTTTGGCCACTACTTACTATCTATACCAGAAGTAGTATTTTTTCCCTTCTACTTCATCCAACCCTTCTAAATTTCTACTTATGTATTTAGTTACTAAAGTAACTTAAATACTGCCAATTTATAACAGCAATACTTCCGTGCAGGTCAAAAACATGACCACTTTAAGAAAGCCAGAATAAATTACATTACTTAGAAAAAATATATAAAGAGATCACAGAAGTTGTTCAGTGTTACAGTAGTACAGTGATTCTTTGTCCATGAAACAAACTCAGTATCAGTGGACACAAATGATCAATCAATAAAATATGATTATCATTTTTTTACTCATTAAATAATACAAACACTAAAAATCAAAACCAAGAATTTCAATGCAAAATATAAAAAAAGAACTAAAAGAAATGTACCAAAATATAGACGTTGGTAATCTTTGTCTTTGGTTGTAAACTAGGGGTGATTTTTTGCCTTTTTTATGCTTCCTTTGTTTTCTACAAGCTTTGTGTATTATGAACATGTATTCTTATAATCAAGGACAAACATTTAATAGCTTTATTAAAATACTATTGTGAAGGCTAAAGATTTTAATTTTATGTCTTATTACTCACCTTTAAGAGTCTTTATGGTATCCATCAATTGAAGTTGAGTTACCTTCCCATCAGCTGTGAGAAAAGACACAAGGTTTTAAACAAAAGCAACAATAATATGGGAAGTCAAAAAGCACTATAACTCAAAATTACAAAAATTAGTATAAATAGCAAATCTTTTAAAATTTATTTTTTAATCGATAAAATTATATACATTTATGGTGTGTAACATGTTTGACATAAGCATACATTGTAGAATGGCTAAATCAAGCTATTTAACTTATGAATTATCTCACATACTTATCATTTTTTGGAGTGTGAATACAAAATCTACTCTTTTAGCAATTTTCAAGCATATAATACATGGTTATTAACTATAGTCACCATGATGAACAATAGATGTCTTGAACTTATTCCTTGCGTCTAACTGAAATCTTGCATCTTTGGACCAAGAACCCCCTATTTCCTGCACCCACCAGCCTCTGATAATCACTGTTTTACTCTGTTTCTATGAGTTTGACTTTTTAAAATTCCACATATAAGTGCAATCAAGTGGTGTCTGTCTTTCTGTGACTACATTATTTCACTAATATAATGTCCTCCAGGATCATCTACATTGTAGCAAATGACAGAATTTCCTTCTTTTAAAAGGCTGAATAGCATTCCACTGTGCATATATATCACTAATTTACATATCTCTCTCTCTCTCTCTCTCTCTCTCTCTCTCTCTCTCTCTCTCTCCAGGAGTGGAAATTTTTGATCATATGGTAGTTCTATTTTTAATTTTTTGAGAAATCTCCATACTGTGTGCCTTAATGGCTATATTATTTTACATTCCCACCAACAGTGTGTAAGAGTTCCCCTTTATCCACATCCTTGCCAATACTTACCCTTGGTCTTTCTAGTAATAGTCATTCTAACAGGTGTGAGGTGATACCGCATTGTCATTTTAATTTTAATTTCCCTGATGATTAGTGATGTTGAGCATTTTTTTCCCCTCTTTTTTTTTTATTATACTTTAAGTTCTAGGGTACATGTGCACAAAGTGCAGGTTTGTTACATATGTATACATGTGCCATGTTGGTGTGCTGCACCCATTAACTTGTCATTTACATTAGGTGTATCTCCTAATGCTATCCCTCCCCTCCTCCCCCCTCCCCACAATAGGACCCGGTGTGTGATGTTTCCCTTCCTGTGTCCAAGTGATCTCATTGTTCAATTCCCACCTATAAGTGAGAACATGCGGTGTTTGGTTTTCTGTTCTTGCGATAGTTTGCTGAGAATGATGGTTTCCAGCTGCATCCATGTCCCTACAAAGGACAAGAACTCATCCTTTTTTATGGCTGCATAGTATTCCATGGTGTATATGTGCCACGTTTTCTTAATTCAGTCTGTCACTGATGGACATTTGGGTTGATTCCAAGTCTTTGCTATTGTGAATAGTGCTGCAATAAACATACGTGTGCATGTGTCTTTATAGCAGCATGACTTATAATCCTTTGGGTATATCCCCAGTAATGGGATGGCTGGGTCAAATGGTATTTCTAGTTCTAGATCCTTGAGGAATCGCCACACTGTTTTCCACAATGGTTGAACTAGTATACAGTCCCACCAACAGTGTAAAAGTGTTCCTATTTCTCCACATCCTCTCCAGCATCTGTTGTTTCCTGATTTTTTAATGATTGCCATTCTAACTGGTGTGAGATGGTATCTCATTGTGGTTTTGATTTGCATTTCTCTGATGGCAAGTGATGATGAGCATTTTTTCATGTGTCTGTTGGCTGTATGAATGTCTTCTTTTGAGAAGTGTCTATTCATATCTTTTGCCCACTTTTTGATGGGGAAATGGGATCTAATTAAACTAAAGAATTTCTGCACAGAAAAAGAAACTACCATCAGAGTGAACAGGCAACCTACAGAATGGGAGAAAATTTTTGCAATCTACTCATCTGACAAAGGGCTAATATCCAGAACCTATAAAGAACTCAACCAAATTTACAAGAAAAAGAGCACTTTTTCATGTATCTGTTCCCCATTTGTATGTCTTCTTTTGAGAAATCTATCCATCAGGTCCTTAGCTGCTTTGCCCATTTTTAATCTTTTTTTGTATTCTTATTATTGTGTTGTTTGAGTTCCTTTTTATTTTGGATATTAACCCCTTATCAGATGTATGGTTTACAAGTATACTTGTCAATTCCAAAGTTTTTCTCTTCACTCTGTTTCTTATTTTCTTTGCTGTGTAGAAGCTTTTCACTTTGATGTAATATTATTTATCTATTTTCACTTTCGTTGCCTGTATTTTGGGTTCATATATGAAAACTCATTGCCCAAACCAATATCATGGAGCTTTTCTTCTGATAGTTCTACAGTTTCAGGCCTTATGTTTAAGGCTTTAACCCACTTTGTGTTGATTTTTTAAAGTTGTGTGAATTAGGGTTGCTATAGCTTGAATGTTCCTTCTGAAACTCATGCTGAAATGTAATTACCAATTTCACAGTATTGGGAGGTGGAGCCTTTAAGAGGTTATTAGGTTATGAGGGCTCTAACTTCATGAATAGATTAATGCCCTTACTAAGGGAGTGGATTAATTATCATAGGAGAGGGCTCCTGATAAAAAGATGAGTTCGGCCCAATTTCCTCTCTCTGTCTTGAGTGCTCACTTCTGCTTTCTGCCTTCCAACATGGGATGACCCTCTCCAGATGCCAGTGCCATGCTCTTGAACCTTCCAGCCACCATACCACAAAACAAATAAATATCTTCTCTTTATATAAACTACCCAGTCTGTGGTATTCTGTTATAGCAGCAGAAAACAGACTACCTTAAAGGTCTAATTTCATTTCAGCTTTTCCAACACTATTTATTGAAGAAACTGTGTTTTCGCTATTATATGTTCTTAGCCTCTGTCCAAAATCAAATAACCAAAAATTCTTGGATTTATTTCTTGTCTCTCTATTCTGTTCCATTGCTCTATGTGTTTGTTTTGGGGTCAATACCATGCTGTTTTGATTACTATAGCTTTGTGGTAGATTTTCAAATTTGGTAGTGTGATGCTTCCAGCTTTGTTCTTTTTGTTAAGGATTGCTTGACTATTCAGTCTTATAGTTCCATATAAAATTTAGGATTGTTTTTTCCATTTATGTAAAAAGGTAACTGGAATTTGGATAGTAACTCCATTGAACACATTGCTTAGAACACATTGATTAGCATACATTGCATAGAACACATTGCTTTGGGTAGAATGGGCATTTTATCATTTTATCATTATCAATTCTTCTAATCCATGAACAAGGAATATCCATGAATGTGATATCACTCCACTTATTTGTGTCTTCAGTTTCTTTCATCAATGTTTTATACTTTTCAGTACATGGATCTTATACTTCCTTGGCTAAATTGATTCCTAAATATTTTCTTGACTGTTTTTTTTTTTTCCAGCTAATTCTTTGTTAGTGTATAGAAATGCTACTGATTTTTTTATGTTCAGTGTGACTTTACTGAATTCATTTTTTAGTTCTAACAGTTTTTTGGTAGAAAGTTTGGAATTTTCTATATGTAAGATCCTGTCATCTGCAAACAGATACTATTTAACTTCTTTCTTTCCAATTTGGATGCTTTTTATTTCTTTCTATTGCCTAACTGATTCGGCTAGGACTTCTAGTACTATGCTGACTAGACGTGGCAAGAGTCAGCATTCTTTTCTGGTTGTTGCTGTTAGAGGAAAAGCTTTCAACTTTTCAGTTAAATATGTTGTTAGCTATGGGTTTGTCATATATGGTCTTTATTGTGTTGATGTACGTTCCTTTTGTACCTAATTTGCTGAGAGTTTTATTATAAAAGAACGTTGAATTTTGTTGAATGCCTTTCCTGCTGCTATTGTGATTATAATATGGTTTCTGTCCTTCATTCTGTCAATGTGGTTTATCACATTTATGGATTTGCATATTTGGAACCATCCTTGAATCCCTGAGATAAATCCTACTTGATCATGGTAAATGATCCCTTTAATGTGCTGTTGAATTCAGTTCACTAGCATTTTGTTGAGGATTTGTGTATCTGTACTCATCAGGGATATTGAGCTGTAATTTTCTTTTCTTATAAAGTTCTAACCGGATTTGGTATCAAGGTAATCCTGGCCTCATTAAATATGTTTGGAAGTATTCACTTCACTGTAATTTTTTGGAAGAGTTCAAAAAGGACTTGTGTTAATTCTTTCTTAATTGTCTGGCAGAATTCAGGAGTGAAATCATCAGATCCTGGGCTTTCCCTTGATGGAGACTTTACTGATTGAATCTTCTTACCCATTATTGATCCTTTCAGATTTTCTGTATCTTTGTGATTCAGTCCTTATAGGCTGTATCCATCTACAGCTTTATCCATTTCTTCTACATCATCCAATTTGTTGATGTATAAATGTTTGTAGCAGTCTCTTATGATCCTTTATATTTCTGTGCTATCAGTTGTGATGTCTCCTTTTTCATTTCCGATTTTATTTATTGGGTCTTCTCTTTTTTCTTAGTTTAGCTAAAGAGGTTTTCAACTTTGTCTATATTTTAAAAAATCAAATTATTAGATTCTTTGACTCTTTGTACTGTTTTCTAGTCCTATTTCATTTATTTCTGCTCTGATCTTTATTATTCTCTTCCTTCTACAGGATGCCTCATTTTATTGTGCTCATCTTATTGTACTTTGCAGATACTTGTTTTTTTACAAATTGAAGGTTTGTAGCAACCCTGTGTCAGGCAAGTCTACAGGTGCCATTTTTCCAAAGCCATGCTCTCATTTCACATTTCTGTGTCACATTTTGATAATTCTCACAATATTTCAAACATTTTCATTATTATTATATTTGTTATAGTGATTTGTCATCAGTGATCTTTGATATTACTCTTGTAATTGTTTTGGGGTGCCATCAAGCATGTGCATACAAGATGGAGAACTTAATATGTTTCTGTGGCTTCTGACTGCTCGACGTACAGGCCATTCCCCCACCTCCATCCCTTTCCTTGGGACACTCTGTTCTCTGATATGCAATAATATTGACAATACCCCTATAAATGGCCTCTAAATGTTCAAG